AGGCGCACCTAGAATAAGGAATCCACACAAATATCAATAAAATGGTTCAAAGCCAAGTAATTAACCAAACACACCATTTCTTGATTTCATCTTTTATTTATCAATTCTTATGTCAATATTATGCCATACACAAGTCATAACTAATTTTCTTTTAACTTAACCATATTAGACCATGAGTGAGTGGTTCTTTGTTCAACAGATCTTCTTATAATTCCACACATTTACCTAGTCTTAGGATAGTCTCAAAAGGCCTTCAGAATACTCATAACTCCTCTTAGCACCTTAAAGCTTATTTTTTCCAATTTAAGGCAGAGTGCCCATTACAAATAAGCTATAAGACTTTTCTTTGTCTAGTGCCTAAACCCAAGCTTAGACACCTATATAAATTATTTTACGCATAAAAGTGTTCTCACTTTGCGAAACAGTATCACCGAACGTATACCTCCTTCGAAAATGGCCAAAACTCATTTTAAGGCCATACAAAGGAGCTACCTTATTTTCTTTTGTCTTTCACCAAAGAGAAGGTTCAAACACCTTAGAACATTATTCTACGAAAAAAAGTGTGCTCATTTTGCAAAATAGTAACTCCTAGCACATACCTCATTTGAAAATAGCCAGATTCACATATAAAGCCCAAAGAAGGAACTTATTCATTTTTTTTATCTAACCCAACCAAAGGTTTAAATATCTAATCATATAGTCTTTAAACCGTATAAGTGCTCACTAGCACAAACAGTCACTCTTAAAACATACTTCCTTTGTAAATGGCTAAGAGGCACATAAAGGAAATCATGCCAATTTCATGATCCCAATGCTTTAGTCCATCAAATTCAAGCTTATCATACACATCTAATCCAAGATTCATTAACATATTCATGATTTTCCAAGGTTCCACAATTAAAGCACATAGGCCTCAAAGTGGCATTTTTACAATCAAGGAATTCTTCAACCATTTAACTCTACACTCTCTTACACATACATATATTCCAAATCATACACACATGTTCAAAATTTAATTTGCATTTCAAACTCCTATTTTCTCCCTTAGGGTCGAACATGCATAGGAGAGGAGCCATAGGATTTTTCTTTTTATTTACGTAACTACATACACAATTCAAACTACTAACATATATTCTTCCTTACTCACAACTTAAAACTCCAAAGACAAGGCATAATCGTTAAATCCTAACATGCTCTTAAACATTCAAGACTTGGGAATCAAAATTGGAACCATAGGAATGAAGATTTCTTACCTCTAATTATCAATCCAAGGCTCAAAGATCATCCACCAAGCTTGGCTCATCAAACCCCCCCCCCCCCACTTTCTTGATCTTGTGAATAGTGCCACGAAATTGGAGAGGGGAGAAACTCTTCACACACTCAATTCTAGCCCAAACCAAGCAGTGGAATGGATTCCTTGGGTGTTTTACTATTAAAATCATGTAATGCACTTTTGTATTTGGTTAAGTGGGGATGGAGAAATCAAGAGAGGAAGAAACTTGAAAACCTAGCTCTAATGGAGACGAAGGGGTCAACCAAGAGGAGAGAGAAGAGGAAGAAAGGTGAATGAATAGTGTTTCACTTAAGTCACTTGCTCTTATAAGACATGTGGTCATTTAACTGATGTTTTCTTCTCAATTAATTTCACTTAAAGCCATGGATATAATTTTATTTTTCAGAGCTTATTTTCACTCACTTATATTCCATAAGGAATATTTTAAGCTATTCACAGATGGATTCAGACACTATTTTTGAAAACATGCATTGTGAATCACTAACGGTGCAATTTTCCACACAAAACCGTAAAACTTCTAAACTAAATACTTTTGATCTAAAAATGACTAGTATGAAATATATTGGACTTGAACAGTCTTTTATTGAACTTTTTCAGATTTCTGGACTCTACTGGTTGCCTAAACCACAATACAAAATATCCGACAGAAACACGTTTTACGAGATTTTTACAAAAAGTGCCAGGCTACATAATTTTCATTAACACTCCTAAATTAAATTAGATTACTTAACAGTTCAAAACAATTTTAACTTAACATAAACTAAATTAAATGAAATTAATAAACACTCCTAAAAATAATTAATTAACATATCTAAAATAATTTAAATTAATATAGGCAAAATTAAGCTAAATTAATTAACAAACATAAATTAATTTAATTCATTAAAACTCCTAAATAAAATTAAATTACTTAACAGTTCAATTTTTTTTAAAATTAAGATAAACTTAATTAAATGAAATTAATTAACACTCCAAGAAATAATTAATTAATAGTTCTAAAATAAGTTAAATTAATATAAAACAATTTAACTAAATTAATTAACAAACATAAATTTAATTTAATTCATTAACACTCCTAAATTAAAGTAAATTAATTAACAGTTAAAAATAATTTTACTTAACTTAACATAAACTAAATTAAATTATATTAATTAACACTCCTATATTAAATTAAATTAATTAACACACATAATTTAAATTAAATTAACAGTCCTAAATTAAATTATTTTAACATAAGTTATTTAAAACTAAAATATTCAAACCAATATTAATTTTCCTTAAACCATTTTATTTCAAAATACAAAATTCAATCATTAAAATTATCCTATAATTTATTAGACCAAAAACGATGAATTGCTGAGCTACTTACACATAATAATCAATGTACCACATGTATAACCATATGTCAGAAAGGCTGACATGTAACATGCTATGCAGCATAATGAGTTTGAAACATGTCAGACATGTAACACGTCAACCTGACACGTAACATGCTATGCATTATAGTGAGTTTGACACGCTGTCTGCCACGTAATCTCATTATACTGTGAAACAGTTTACATGGCCATGACCCCGGTGTCACGTTTTCACACCTAACTCGCCAAGTGTTACAGCGAGTTAGATGACGTGGCATTTTTAAAAAAAAATCCTATCCGTGACATTCAGATAATTTTTTGTGAATAATGTGACATAAGGAGTGTGCTTGGATGACTTTCTCTTCACTTTGTTTCCAAAGAACAGAAGAGACTATAACAAGAACTTTTAGTATTGTGTTCCACCGACTAATTTGGCATAAAATACGTCTAAGGTTTCATGTAACGTGTAATGCACTTTTTTCTTCTTTTTACACAAAGTGGTAACGAACCAACTATATCTAAATATCGTAAAGTCATACTAATACACTTCTTTCTTTCTTTACTTTCATTTTTTTCTGCCACCTTTTTCTTCCCTTCGTAAGGGATTGATTGAAAGACGGGGTTGAAAAAGAAGCGTGCCAAGTGCAAAGTAAAGCGTGAGATGAGGTTTCCCATTTCCATTTACCCTTTTAACTATTACTAGCAATTTCAATAGCAAAAAATAGGACAAAGGAGTTTCTTAGGTTAATTTTGGGTAGCCTAATAAATAATTGTAAGAGAGGTGAAAGGTTGAAAATGATTTTGGAATTCCTTATTTCCTTTGCATTGCCATCTTTCCTGCTTTGGCCGCTACCTTGGAATGGTCTCAAATTTAGTCCATCCACCAATCCTCCATATTCTAAAATATATAAATTCTTTCTAATTAAATAAACAAGACAAATCACAAGGTGGATTCAAATAGCAATGTGAGCTCGGTGAGATCATATTTTATCTGCAATGCAAGCATTCAAATTTCAGTTAGCAATTTTTTATTAGGTGAGTAAATTTTAGAGCAATAGTAATATTGTTTCTTATGATCGGAAGTTGAGTCCAAAAAACAATATCTTTGCACACATATAAAATTAATAAAAAAAGATTGGTTCAAGTGGTATATATTTGATTTCGCTTAAGCAATGTCTTTGGTTCAAATTCTCATGAATGTAAAAAAATTCTTATAAGAGAGTTAGCCCCACCATGATGTGAATATTTCTGGCTCAAACAGAATTAACTTCTATGGATGATAACTGCAGTTTATTTAAAAAAAAAATTAAGACAATGTACAATCAACTCTGATCCCTTACCTCCTAAATTAGAAAACCCTACATACCAAGATTTATTTTTTGATCGGGACCAAGTTGATATTCGAGTATTGATTGGCCTCCTAGTGAAAAAGTATATATAAATAATTTGTGTTCAATAGCACGTTGTCTTCATAAACAAAATCCAATGTCCCCCACAGGGACCAGGGACCATATACAAACAAGACGAACGAAAGAAAAAATTCTTTCACCGTACAATATCTAGAATGTTATGAACTTTATTTATAGAAGTAGGGACCTTTCTTTGCTTATCAAACAAGATAATGAATAGCATTAAAAAATACATAAAAAATCAACTAGTTATCAATAATACTACACTCGTAGCCAGCAATTCAAGACAGATCGGTACAATATAAATATAAAATATAAACAAGATGGGACAGGATATATTTATTCCAATATAAGAATAGCTTATCTTAGATTCAATCTTAATTGTTGATCATACTAATATCTAACAGTTTTAATTTATTAATCACCTGAACCATTAGATACAAACGGGATCAATAACTAAGATTTAAAATATAACTTATACCGAAGTAAGATAATCCTCCTGCGAAAAAGTATCTATTGTAAAGGTATGAAACTAGTATCGTATAAGTGTTATATTCAAAATTGGAATATGCTCCATTTGGCAATTCTCCTTCAAAAAAGAATCAATGAATCAAACTTAACAGTGTGCCTCTCACATCCATAGGGGCATGGTCAATGCCAATCTCCCCAGTATACCAATCTAACCTGTGATTTTCCTTTTGATTATACACAAATTTTGTATTCTTTCCCTTTTCTTATGCCTAAACTGAAACTCGTGTTTTGAATGAAATGAGAACTCCACAAGGACCCTTTGATTCTTCAGCAGTCTCATCAACCAGGTTGGACAAAGGAAGCACTTTCCCACTACAAACCCGAATGAGCTTCCTTTAACTTTAAGGCAGTGTCATAATGCACAATGAAACCCACTCTTTTGCCTAGTCATATACTAAAAAAACCAAGACACTATCTTTGTGATCCATCACCAAATCGATGGTCTGGTTTCAGGCTTGCAATTAGCTCCTGAGTTTTGTTACAGACACAACCAGGAAAGGGATTAGCAAAAAAGTTCTCCTCTGTTCTTGGTGACTCTCCTATCTGTCTAAGATAAGGTCCACCTAGCCTGTCGGAATGCAAATTTTTAACCTCAGAAGAAAATGCTTCCCAAGATATGGAACCCTCATCCATATGATCAATCAGCCTAACAAAATTTAATCTGAAAAGAAAATGAAACAGATTACATGTCAGTAACATGAACAATGCCAACACAAAACTAACTCTAAATAAATATATAAAGGAAAGAAAAACTATGTAGTGATTTATGTTTTGTGAACGGTTAGAGTTATAACATACACCGATTACGATGCTTTCATCATGGCTAAAGATATAATATAAAAGCATTTATGTGCCTTCCCCTAACTGGTTCTAAACATGGTATTAAAGCCTTATTAACAAGTTGTCTAAGTTTGATCCATGCCACCCCATCCTTCTAAATAGAAAGTTGAATTTCAGCATAAGATAGGCGGACTTGTCCATTATCCACGTGTCAAGACCAAAGCGTCAAGACAAAATACAAACTGGTGACAAAGCTTTCACCATTGTTAGATATATAATATAAAAACATTGGTGTGTTTTCACATAACAGGTTAAGTTTTTGGAGATTTGGTTCTTGACATGAACTAACCTGTCAGGATTAATAGTCTTCCGAAATCCTTCAAACCTCCTATGGCCCTGCACTGCCTTGGCCATGTTTCCATCATAAGTATAGACAAAGACATCACTTTCCAAGGCCACTATATAATCCAAAGCAGCAAGACGATTTTGATAAGGCTTGAAGGGTTCTAGCTCCTCCTCAGTTGCAAGGGTGGAATGAGTAAAGACATTAGGGTACTCTGAGCGAAAGGCTGCCATACTATTGCTACCATAGATAGGCCCTGCAACTATGTAGATTGTTGTAGTTGAAGGGTACCCCATGGCCTTAAGAAAAACTGCTGCCTCTCTAGGTGACATAGGGCACCCCCCTTGCATTCTTCTTTCAACACTATCAATCTCTTTTTCCTTCCAGTGCTTCACTTCATACCTCATAACCCTTAGTTCCTCAGCCTCCTCAGCAGTGAGATTATGACTGCAGCCGGTAAAAGCTAGCATGTCTTTCTCGTATCTATATTGTAAAGAGAGAGAGAAACAAAATAAGAAAACTGCCATAGTTTAGCACTTTATAAAATAAATAAAAGCAGGAATGGATCCTGTCACTGACATGAGGTTATGTGAAAGGATCTCAATTATCAAGATGGGCAGATACAAATGAATGGTGACGAGAGAATGCATTAAGATAAAGGGTGATTCGTATCTGTAGGACTAAAATATTCTCGTATAAACTCATGTCACATGAGAGCATCCATTCTCGAAAGTAAGCATAGAGTTGTAAGTCCATAAGAAGAAAATACCTTAAATGAAGGGCAATATATGGTTCATTATTGTTTCTTAGCCTATTGACCAAAGTCCTCCCAAGCTCCTCAATCTCTGCGGTATACTTGAGAGCTTGGTAATTGGCACGGCATCTTAGCTTCTGAATAGAAGAAGCAAGGCCATTGTTGGCAAGTCGTGAATCTGTGTGGGTAAATTGTACGACTTTATGTCGCTTCAACAATGAAAGAATCTCACCTCTATAATAACTAGCCTGCAAATGAAGTATCTTAGCCACTATTGCACTAAGAGAAAAATTGTTACAATGTTGTCACATTATTTAACTGTCCATACCTTTGACCAGGAAACAGGGGCTTTCACAAGAGGTTTCACAGAAGCATACCGCACTGGCAAATACTCAACTATCTCAATGTCGTCTTTCAAAGATTTCATGAAGTGCCTCCAGTCAAAAATATCTTTAAAGTCACTGAAATATATTAGGGACATTATATTTTGGAAAAATGGTAACATGAGGAGATAAGTTAATGTTTCACTTAACACACTTATTAAATATGAAATTTACCTTGGATCAGTCCAAAACGAATCATGGTCAAGAGAAGGAAGGACAAGAGTGGCATTCATTATTTTTGCCACTGCAACCATATCACATATCTGCAAGTCAATGAGGGTTACGAGAATTAGCCAATAGAAATATCATTTAGGGAAATAAAAGAGAAAATCCCGATTCACAAGGCTTCCCAACTTACGAGGTTAGAGATAAGGATCGATTCTACATAACTTTACTCTTAGGGGGTGTTTGGTTGGAGTATTATTTTCAAATGCATAGGAAAGTCAGACTCCCATGTTTGGTAGCAAATGTGAGAAAATTTTCCCACAATTATCATTTGCATAGGAATCCATTTTCAGTGTAAAATGAGTACAAAAATTCAACCCAAAAATACCACCTAGATATAAGTATTCTAACTTCGTTGGGGAAATGAAAAGCCAACGTAAGAAACTTTGACAAAAATAACCCTGTAAAGTATGTCTTGGATCATTAGGTAGGAGGCTGAAAAAAGCAAATAGTATCCTTTGTATTCAAATTAAAAAATAATCTGTACCAATATCCAAAAAAAAAATTATAAATATCCAAAAAAAAATAATCTGTACCAAAAAAATAGGGATATTTTCGTAATTGTCACTTATTTTCCCATCTATATTTTATCTCAAACCAAACATAGATTTTATAAATCTTACTTAATTTGCCCAGTAAATTTTTTTTCAACCAAACAACTTTTTTTACATTTTCCTACCAAACTCACTTTCCAACCATTTCACTATCAATTACATTTCCCTAGTATTCAAAAAATTTCTCCTCAACCAAACGCCCCCTTACATATTTTTGCAAAGAGACTGATTTTTTAAATTTGAATACTTAACCTTTTGGTCACAAGGAGCAACCTTACCGCTACTCCAAGACTCGTCCTCAAATGTCATTTAGGAAAATGAGAAAATAAATTCATATATATATATATGAGGGGGGATATTTTGACTACCAAAAGTGTCCACTACCACCTTACTACCTATTAAATCACCATTGGATCAAAGAGAGAGAATGTTAAAAAGTTTTTGAAGAGGGAGAAAATGTTAATCCAATGGTGATTAGATAGGTAGTAAGATGGTAGTAGAAACTTTTGGTAGTTAAAATATCCTCCCTCTATATATATATATATATATATATATATATATATATGTTATATAATCCTATGTTTTATTTGATCTTACCCCAGTTCTCATTTGATTCAATCCACCATTGGCATGAACAAGAAGATAGCCATTTGTTTTTGAGTTTGTCCCTGAAAAAAATAAAAGTGGAATAACAAGTGTGAAAACAAAAAATTGATTACGTGCAGCGAATCTTGACAAGAATCAAGTGCAATTATACATACTTATCCGATTCCTGGGTCGAGTAACGCATTGGTAATAGCTGTCACTATTTGGTTTCATCCATATTTCTGGAGTCTATAGGAAAATAAAAGAAAAACAAAGCATGATAAGAAAAAGAAAGAAAATCTAAGATTATGAAGCACAGGACCAAAACACAAAATAGTGAAATAATCCTAGGTTTTATTTTAACAGTAAACACATTAAATTTTAAAAATTCAATATGTGTGACAATGTCTGCGCTACATAACATGGACAGAATCAAAGAAGAAGAAAATAAAAAATTGAAACACATGAGATATCATAAAAAGAAAAACAATACTAATATGATTCGGTCAGAGCCACCTTGCCAGTACTCAATATTCAACTTAGCATACGTGTGCCAGTTGCCACCAACTTCACAATAACGAGTCAAAATTTCGAGAAAGTGCCCAAAATTCCAATTACTCGAGACATTACAACCTTACAACAAATTAAATATTTTAATGTATTTTGAATGGTTCACTGAGAATTTAATTTTACACTTTTTTACCTACTCTTGATTCTCAAACTTAGGTACTCAGAATATTTCCATAGGATATAACACAATATTAAAGCTTCGTTTTTTCCTCCGGTAATTACTGCAGATAATTTATCTGTAGTAAATCAATATGACGTTGTTTGGGGGCAAAAATCATGGTGTTTTTGTAATTTTAATTTATTTCAGGGTTATAATAGTCTTTATATTCATAATTTTTTAAAATTTTAATATTAAAACGACGTCGTTTCGAGAATAAATGCAGGCAGGAACATTTTTCCCTAATATTAATCCCATAATTAAATCATCATAACAAATAAATTTGGTTTAAAAAATGAGGTACACAAAACGACAAGCACCTAATATTATTATTCTAACACCTAAGCTCCTTATCCCAGAAAACCAAATCAATGATATAAACGAAAACTATTAACCCAATCACCAAAGCTTAGGAAAAACAAATAAGCACTTTTAGGTTTTAACCTTTTTCTACTTCTGTTTCCCTTAACTAATTATATATATTTATTTATTTTTTCCAACGAAAAAAAAAAGTGAAAAGGTGTAAAAATCTGATTCCCAACAAAAAAGGAATTTTCAAGAGCAACCCAGAGAAGGAAGAAAAAAAGAAAGATGAAAAAAAGTACTTTTTTTTGTGTGTGTGGCAGAAACGTGTTTTGAAGAATCACTTACAGCCAATCTCTCGAGGACCCTTTTGGGCATTGATGTCTCTGAACCGGTTTCTGTGACGACCCTCTGAGCCGAAGCCCAATCTTCCTTGAACCGCTGCAAAATCAAGTGGCCATTTTCGATGCTCTTTCCATTCATCTCAACGCCACCACCGATGAAAGACACCTTCACGAAAACCGACATCACCATTATGAACATGAGGAAGGCGAAGATCTTCCGGCCCACTTTTTTCCCGGACAGGAGCGACTGAACCGAACCGGCGAGCCAGAGGAGGAGGTGCTCCACGCGGAGGAAGAATGACTCGGGCACACAGTGGAGTATGCGGGAGCGGAGCAGGAGATAGCGCGTGATAGCGTGGAGGTGGTGATGGTGCGCGTGGTGGTGGTGGTGGTTATGATGATGGGGCCCACCCAGAACGGGGTTTGTTGCGGTGTCGTCCTGTTCGACCTCGGAGAAATCGGAGAAGCTCGAGGAGACTACTTGTTGTTTCTCGGCGTCGACGATGATGTTGTTGTTGTTGTTGTCGGCGACGCGCCGTCGAGTAGTGGTGGGCCCCGCGGCGACCCTTGGGCTGGTGCAATTGGAAGAGGTGGTTGTGGGGCCGGCGGACGACATGGTGGGGCCGCTGCCGGAATGTCTAAACGGCGACGGAGAAGCGGTGATTGGTTTTGAAGAGCAAAACTTGTTGATGAAAGAAAAAGAAAAAAAAGGGGTGAAGAAATTTATTTATTTATTTTTATTTTTTAAATTTTTTTTTTGATGTTTTTGAGGTTGCGGTTTCAGGGGATATGAGAGAGAGAGAGAGTTGTTTTGTTTTTGCAGTGTTTTGAGAGCCGTCGGTTGAAGGTTTTTGAGAGTCACTTTTGGTTTGAAAAGGTTTGAGAGAGAGTGGAAAGAGGAACCGAAATCCAAGGCGGGGGAGTGGCAATGTTATTGTGCAAATTTCTGTGATCTCTGATTTTCTCGTGTCCCCTTTGTGTATATATATATATATAATTACTATCATGAATCATTGTGTTTGGTCGATTTCCGTGTTATGCTTAATGTGACAATTGGATTTGGATCTCATTGGTGGTGGAAATGTCTGTATCACCCTCCCTTTCTTTCTATTTTCAAATCAATGAAATTTACTTTATGTTGATGTTTAATTATTTGTTTGTTATAATATCACTCACATTTTTTAGGTGCTTCATTTCAAATCCGAATGTAAGATAACATAACTTTTGGTCTTTACGAGGATATTTTGTGTAAGTATAATTTAGAGTCCAAATCATGGAGTCGGTGAGGAATGGTTAAAGTAAATTATGCTATTAGTTAAATAATTTAAATTTTTTAATTCGATTTTGTGTTTTAACATAAAATAAAGTACATTTTGGGTACTTAAAAAAAATTACGGGGCACCATTTAATCGCTTAAAAAAAAATCAACTCGTGGTTCTTTTGAATTTCAAAACAGATCTAGTTAATCGAAATTATGATCCTTCTAAAATTCAAAGAAGACTCGTACTAATCTCTCAAAAGGACTAACATAAGTCTATTTTGCAATTCAGAGGGAATGAGTCGACTTTTTTTTCCTAAGAAATTAAATTGAGCTCCATAATTTTTATTGAGGACCTAAAAAATACTTTACTCTTTAACATATTTGTTTTCTTTACCCGCATATTTTGTGTAAGTATGATTTTCAAATTAAATCATGGAGTCAAAGAGGAATGATTAAATTAAATTATATTATTGGAGAAAATGGTCTTGGAGAGTCTCCCCTATAATGAACCGACAATGCTCAAATAGGATTAATCGGATAATTGATGAACAGTAAATATATCCAATTAAATTATGCTATTAGTTAAATGATTTAAATTTTTTAATCCGATTTCGAGTTTGAAGATCTATATTCTCTTTACTAGTTGCGGGAACTAAATCCACTAGATTAAATTCTGTAATCTAATTAGAATGGTGTTCATAAATTAAAATCTTTTTAAAGTGATTGTTTAGGCTTTATATATTTTCTATTAGTTAAATAATTTAAATTTTATAAATTGATTTTAAAAATGTTCGTGGAGTAAGGAGGACATTGATTAAATCACGGAGTCAAAGATATTAAATCACTTAATCAAGGAGAAAATTATGTTTGGTTAAAAATAGATGTAAAATTTAAAATGAGGACATTTTGTGAAAGCATGATTTAGAGATTGAATCATGGAGTCAAAGAGTAATTATTAATTTTTTTTGGTAAATGAGTAATGGTTAAATTAAAGTCTTTCTAAAGCGATTTTTTTAAACTTTAAATATTTACTATTTTGATTTCTTACAAGAAAATGAATAATAAAGAACTCATCAAGGAAATGTTGGCTCTTCGAAAAAATCATCGTCTTAGTGTTAGACATTTTATCGCTTTAAATATCCTTAGCTACAATTTACAATTTGATATTTTTATTTTTTCAATTATCATATTAGAATAGCGTAATAGTTAATTTGTTGAACTATACTATTTTGTTATATCAGAAACAATGACGAATGTTAACATAAAAAATAATTTTTGACTTCTGATTAGTATTTTTATGTTTATTATATTCAAATTTTATATATTGTATCGTAGTTATGCCCTGTCTTGTAATTATTAAAATTATCCTATTTCTTTATTTATGTCGTTTTTATCACTGTCTAATATGGTATCCATGCAACATAAAACTCATTCAACGATATGACAACTTAAAAAGTAAATACTTTAATTTATCTTCCAGATATACTTCCATCATTAAATCGATTGTCTAAAGATGTTAATCAAAATATAAATTTTGAAATTACATTAATGTCCAAGAATATATGAAAAATTAAATTAATGTCTAATTTATTTTAAAAATAATAATAATTTGAGGTAAAATTTAAAATGAGGACAAAGCGTAATTTAGAGATTGAATCATGGAGTCAAAGAGTAATTATTATGATTATTTTTGGTAAATGAGTAATGGTTAAATTAAAGTCTTTTTAAAGCCATTTTTTTAAACTTTAAATATTTACTATTTTGATTTCTTACAAGAAAACTAATGATAGAACTCATCAAGGAAATGTTGGCACTTCAAAATAATCGTTGTACTTAGTGTTAGACATTTTATCGCTTTAAATATCCTTAGCTTCAATTTACAATTTGATATTTTTATTTTTTGAATTATCATATTAGAATAGCGTAATATTTTGTTGAACTATATATACTATTTTTTTTTTCGGTAAATGAACTATACAATTTTATTATATCACAAACAATTACGAACGTTAACTTATAAAATAATTTTTGACTTCTGATTAGTATTTTTATGTTTATTATATTCAAATTTTATATATTGTATCGTAGTTATGCCCAGTCTTGAAATTAATAAAATTATCCTATTTCTTTATTTATGTCGTATTTATCAGTATCTAATATGGTATCCATGCAATATAAAACTCATTCAACGATATGAGTCCTATGACAATTTAAAAAGGAAATACTTTAATTTATCTTCCAAATATACTTCCATCATTAAATCGATTGTCTAACTACCAAAAAAAACAAAATTCGATTCTCTAAAGATGTTAATCAAAATATAAATTTTAAAATTACATTAATGTACAAGAATATATGAAAAATCAAATTCATATCTAATTTATTTAAAAAAATAAAAATTTAACGTCACGTGTTATTTAAGAAAATCATTTTTATCATTTAGTCTATAATAATGTTTACAGAGAAAGGATATATTTATAACTTGTTTTTGTTTATAATTTTATTTTAATCGTTGATTTTTATCAATATGATAGTTATAATTTATTATAAATTAATAATTAATTAATAAATTTGTTCAATAAATTATAACTATTAAATTAACAAAAATCAATAATTAAAATATGATGTAAATATTACCTTCCTTATGTTTAAAAGTCTAAATTAAATGATGCAATTTCCTTCTTCGAGTGAATTACCTTGCAATGAAAAGTTGGGCAAGTAGTTTGGCAAGGAATTCAGCATTTAATGGCGTTGACATAAATCAGAGAATAGTAATTTTGTTACGTAATAAAGGAATGACTTGAAAGTAATTTTTTTTCTTCCAAAAGAAAAAAGAAACTTGAAAGAGAAACTAGAATGTAGGTCAATCCAAGCACCAATCAAGTACTAATTTTTCAAAATGGGTATTTCGAATTTTGATTCATAATTAATTCATGTCAGGTGAGAATAAAGCCAAGATCATAGCAAGAGTTTGATTGATAGCCCATTGTTTCGGAATATTACTGATATATTTTCAGCAACGTAGTAACTACCCTTTCCACTCAAATTAGAAATAATTGATTTTTAATGTCACGTGTCTTTTTAATTGAATTAGGGAAGTAGGAAATAAAAAACTCTGAAAGTTAATTTCCTCCATTGTTAGATATCTTGAAAGAAAAAAGCACTATAAATCCATTGTAGCATAGCTCGCCTCATCAAAGGAAGTTGTTATCTATCGGTTGTGAAACATTTCCATCTGCCGACGTAGGAAACGAAAAAAATGTTAGTACATTTATAATATGAAGACTTAGAGCATGTTTGGCCAAAAAAAAAAAAAATTCAGTTAAAAGTTACATTTAAGCAAAAGTTAAAAAAAAAAAAAAAAAACTTACAAAATGTTTGATTATTATATAAATGTGTTCTTAGAATTTTGAATGGGGAAAGATGAAATAACTTGTTATTAGGATGGATTATTAGGATAAAGAGTAAAATGATAAATATAAATTTAAAATAAAAGTGAAATTGAAAATAAATATAATAATTCTAAAAAATTAGTGTATATATTAAATAAAGCTCCTCTGTTTGCTTTTGCTTCTTCTTTTTTTATTCATTATAACAAAAAACTCTTTTTATAATAAATTTTTTTATAAAAATATGTTTGGCTAAGCTTATGTTTATAAGAAGTGAAGTTAAAAATAAGATTTTATTGCATCACTAATTAATATGAAAAATATAAATTATTTAATTGTGTTTGTTTCATCATTTTTTTTAATGTCACATAAATTTCACTTTCTTTTTAGTTTTAGCAAATAGCTACATATTATAACTATATATAGGAGGGATGATAATTTTTAACACGACATGCCAACACAATCCGAATACGACACAATTTTTTATGTACGTGTCAACCTATATTCATAATTTCGTATTCATGTTATGTTTGAGTTCACCAAAGAGTGACCCGAAGAAATCATACCGTATTCATATTAGTGGTATTTGTATTATCCCTTTTAAATTATATAATTATATATTTACCCTCACTTATCCCTTTTTTATTTATCAATTTGAGGTTATTTAATAATTTTTATTTGAAAATTAAAATTAACGGGCTATTTATATTGTATAGTATCAACCCTTACAATAAATAAATCATGTTAGTGTGTAGAGTTTTGATACAAATTGTCATATTGATAATTGCCCCATTACAAACGATTTACTCGTGGGAGAGTAACAACTACATGGAATGAGGGACTACAGTGCTGAGTTTGAGATGAAAGAAGAAGGGCTTCACGTTCAATTATTGAGTGTATGCATCGTTTCAAAGCACTAAAAATATAATCAAGTAATATATCGTCGGGTCATTTGATCGAATATTA